TTTTTATGCTTTCTGAATGCCTCCAGGTAGATGTGATCAGGAAATGGGCTTCCCTTTTCACTCTTCTTCCTGAGAAGTTTCAGGATACCACTGTTGGTCGTTTTGACGTAACTTAGGATTTAATTTTCGGCCTATTTCCTTCTTTTGTCTGCTTGTCCCGCTCCACAACCCCGTTCAGGCCTTTTTTCTAGTTGGAAACAGTTCAGGGCCAGCTGTGGCCGTTTGGTTTTCATTGGAAACTGTCTCTTTAAATTTTGAGGAGATCTGTGAGCATGCGTAGTAGAACCCTCCAAGGGTGGGGCTGGGGTGCCCACTGGCTCAGGCACCCCTATAGTCACCAGAATGGAGGTGCGCAGACAGCAAGGGACCAATGATCAGATACCAAAAGAGAAGAATGTCCACACCTTTATCTCAGCGGTTCTGCCAGGCATCTGTAGCCGCTCCGATCCTTCTCCCATGTGGTCTCACCCAAGATGGCGGCTCCTGGAGCAGCCGAGCGTTCTGGACTAGAAAGCAACAGATTTCTTGCTTCTGCCACAAATTCCCCCAGTTGTGAGCCTTCCAACCTTCTAAGTATTCCTTTATATGTGGTTCAGAGTTCTGGGACCATCCCCTGAGCCTGCTTGGTTGGGTATTCTGTGTTGTTGTTGGCGGAGCTCCTTTACTGCACTTCCACCCAATCCGCCATCTTGTTTGTTCCTCCTCTCATAGTAGATTTTTAAAGAGTCTTCTGCATTTACTATTATGATCTTGTCTGTACCCTGTGAGGTAGATTGCTTACTGTTGTTAATAACCTGTTGTTATTAAGTGCCATCGAGTTAATTCTGATTCATAGCAACCCTGAATTTGAGAAGTAGCTGGTTGATTTGAACTGCTGACCCTGTGCTTAGCAGTGCAGTGCTTATCCACTACAGTACCACACCAAGACCCCTAAATTGTTGGTCAGGCTTTTCTATTGTTGTTAAGTGCCAATGAGCTGATTCTGCTTCATAGTGACCCTGTTATCAGGTTTTTGAGGAGCAGCTGGTGGATTTGAACCACTAACCTTGTGGCTAGGAGTCCAGTTTTTATCCTACAGCATCAAACCAAAACTTTAATGTTGTGTATATTCTTAATTTGGGTTTGTTCTGTTCTTCTGTTTCCAAACAATTGCATTCTTAAAATGTCACAGTCTATCTTAGCATGCTAAGAAGGCACAAGGGTACTGGGACAGGCAGTAAGAAAGGACTATATGATTGCCCAAAGTAGAATCAGCTACACCGGAAACACCCCACAATATGTAGTAAGCTGCTCCCCTTACTCCAAGCTGTCCTGCTGGCCACGGCCTCTCTCAGCCATCAGAACTGCATTCGAATTCTAAGGGGTAGAATACAGAGATGCCACGCAGTCTCAAGACTCCATGAACCCAGAGCCCCCTGTCTTATTCCCAACATCTCACATCTTAT